GGCTTAAGAGTGTGACCCCCCTGTAATTGGAGCACACCCTCCGGTCCCCCTTTTTAAACAGGGGGACCACCACCCCAGTCTGCCAATCCAGGGGATTGACCAATACGACAGACCAATACGTACAATAGTTTAAAGATAATTTAATTGGGGGTGCTACTCTATGTTAGCAAAATCAATAAATTGCATCCCTCTGTGTACCACTTTGGACTGTTTTTCATGGTAAAATTACAGCAAAAATACTTAAGAATCCCTCACAGTGGCAAAAAATCAAGAATATCATCTCCAAATGGTTAAAACACACACACATTAAAAAACCAGTAAATCAAAATAGGTTTTGCATGAATTATAAACAGGCCCCTCCCTCAAAGACTTAATTAGGCCTTAATAAAWTGGCTATGCAAAAAAAACATTTTCTAATTAAAATGTTTAATGTGTGTAAAAAGACGTCGACGCAGTTTGAATACTTATAAAAGAAGAAACTTGCATCAAGAGAATTTAGTTTGACTAATCCAATTAAAGTGGAATAAACTCAGACTTTGTATAAAATATCTGTAAAAGAAATTGTGTTGACTCATCCTAGATGTCATAAAATTGTGTGGAAAGTGTTTATTTCTGATCATTGAACAAGTTGCCCTAATAAAATCTGCAGTCTTTTGTGGATCGATGTTTTCGTCGAACAACTCAACACTGTTTTGTGCGAAACGTTTGACCAAATATCTCAAATTTGTCMGACGAGCATTTAAAGAAGCAGTTAGGCACAAACTTGAACAAGAGGTGGGGGAGAAAAGAATAGAGACGAATAAAGGCGACTGTGTGAGTGAGATATGAACAGACCAGGGAGTGGAGGGAGGGAGGCGGCGCTGGTGATTTTTTTAAGATAAAAATTGGTGGCAAGAACACACCAGAGGTGGAATAAGTCCTGTCTCAATGGGAGTTCAATAGAAATGACCATCTGTGTTTGTGCCAGTGTGTACCATGCTTAAGCAGGCTTTTCAGTTTAATTCTACTATTATTAGCTGGCATGAGAGCTGACGCTGCGGCTAGACTCTCAGAGTGGACGCTCTGTACCATAATCCTGTAGTTTGCATTTATGGATCTCTGTAGTGTTTTTACATTTTTATTAAAGCCTGTTTGTTTTTCATTTTGAAAACCAGAGATTTCCGGCTATAAACACCCAGATGCCTCTCAAATATACAAAAAGAATCCACGTCTTTTCTGTAACAAGACAAGCGGCTAGTCTTTGCACTCCATGCCCAGACATGTTTTTTCACAAGAGGAAGGTCTGACATGTTTTTTTTCTTTTTCTTTTTGATAGTCAGCTTCCTCTTTTCATTTGCATAGAATGTCTTTTTCCTGCTCTGGTTAAGAGGAGAAAGGAGTCCAAATCAAAAGCTGCCCTTCCACCTAGTGGTGATAAGGCCACAGTGCGTCAAGCTTAGGCAGATTAACGAGAGAGGCGGGGGCAGGTAGGCAGTGCAGCATTGGCATTGTCTTTGAGGCTGATTGCATTTTCCACAGAGGGCAGTTGTCTGTTCTTGAACTGAAAATAGCACAACGCTCTTGTTTTTCCTCCCTGCTCTCAGATTTGCTTGTTCAGACGATGCTTTTTATAGCGTCTTATATATAGGAACCAGTCCCAGGCACAAAAACACAACCCATTAAATCTAAAATATCTATATACATCACTAGGAGATGACACAAACATCAACTGGGTCCATTTAGATACAAATGGCAGTAACAAAATGGCCTGTTCAGAAAACATTGCTCCCACACGCACATCCAGGCTGATGGCCAAATGAGTAATCATCTCTGCAGGTATTCAGTCTGTGTGAGTGTATGTGTTTTTATTACTTGGTGGGGACAATGTTTGACCATTTTCCCAGTACGCATCCTTGTGAGGTCCCACTGTTCCTTATGAAGACAAAAGCCCAGTCCCCATTGTCGGAAATACTGTTGGTGGKTCAGGGGTTTGGGTTAGGTCTAAGTTGTGAATTAGCTTTTTAGGATTGGGTGTGTAATGGGGTGGTTAGGTTTTGAGTAAAGGGTCAGGCTTTAGAAATAACCAGTAAATCAATGGAAGTCAATTCAAAGTCTCCACGAGGATAGAAAAACAAACGTGTGTGTGTTTGTGGCCTTGTTTTTCCTACATCGTGGGGACAATTTTCCCCAAAACACAGCCTCGTGGGGACCGAACGTGCATCGTGGGGACTAATGCCCAGTCCCCATGGGTCCAAATGCTAATT